AGGGTAGAGGTAGTCCTTAATTCCAAGCAATAGAGAGAGAGTAATTACATTTTTTCCTGTTCATTAAATTAGACATTGAATTATAACTCCCTATGCATAAAATATTTTTGTTTCATTTCTCTGAATTTTTTTGCAATATATGCATAATTTAAGCTTCAGGTATTAGAACTTGTCTTTTAATGCTATTCGTTTAGATTGAGTTTTACATAATGATTATGGTTCATGCGTTTTTCAAGCAAGCAGGCTGGGTGAAGCTTATAGCTAGGATATTGATCTGTTGCGTATTGATCTGGTTGTACAGAAGAGCTTTGTTTGCCAAGCTAAGGGTTATAATGAAAGCTTAGTGAATATACACAGCAGTCGTCCACCCTTTTTATTGAGAGTTTGCTTGCATCCAAAACTAGAATCTTTCAATAAGGTAGAATATTGTATTATCTAGCCTTGCTCAGTCTTAGTCAGATGTCGTAGATAAAAATACAGCTATTTTATCATAATCAAAGTCACTCCTTTTTCTGCATTTGATAAAGGACTGGAGTATAATCAAACTTCCATGAAAGACCACAACTACTTTTGCTTCATTTCATCAGGGTAGCAGTCATCAGAATAGAAGGATGAAGTTGCCTCCAAGTATGATGCAACTGATTTAGTTTCTCACCCTGAAAATAGCCTAATGATTATTTGATACTAATGACCTTACAACTTGATGTATGTGTTAAGTTCATACAGCATATTTTGTTGAGCTTGGTATATTACATTGAGCCCTGCTTATTTTGTTGAATTTAACGCATTGTGTCATAAAAGAACATTCAGTTTTTTATGTTCATATATCACAAGATACAAAGTTCTCTTTACAATCAGCATGTTGATTCATGTGTATATTATATTATATAGTGCTTAGTTATTACTCATTCTAAGAAATCAAGCCTTTTATGAGAAATATTGCTTGTTAGTCTACAGAAAGATGTAATGAGTTTCATAATTGTTATTATTACCATTTTACTGGCAAATCTTTCCCATTCTGATATTGCAAATAGTCTTGAATTAGACCCTATTACTGCCATTCTTCTCCCTCTAGTGCCTGAGTGAGAGAGGAGGTGTATAACAGGGTCTTGGTGCGAGATCTTTTATAGCATACCCAGTTGTAAGCTCCCCCTTGCCACTTGCCCATAAAAAGCATTTTTTTCTTGAACTCATTTTCAGTTTAATATGTTAAATCTTGTGATTCATATAAATCAGCAAGATTTAAGACAGATATGAGACTTCCAAATCAAGGATCTCTCATCTTTCATGGACAATCCCTTGGGAAGATAGCAAGACCTTAACAAATGAAAAAGATATATTCTCCCTGCACGGTGTTTTAGTTCAATAAATACTCATTTTGCAATCCTGATATAAATCAAGATTTGCTTAACACATGAGCCTATGGGATATTCTTACCATCTGAAGTAGCCTCTGAGCATGTTTTAATAAACTAATTGAATAAATATTATCAACACGTGTGATCGATTATAATTTCCAATAATGGTTATTTTATTAATTGATTGAAGTTTTCATGTAGCTGTACATTAATAAAATTATAGTGCATTGATTTAAACTCTATTTTGTATGAGGTTTTTGTTTCAAAGCATGTTATAAAATTTGAAATGTTAATTCCTGCAATCTTACCTAATTTGCGAATAATACAAAGCAAGTAAAAGATAAAGAGACTTTGTTTTAACATAAAACCTGTGTTATTTCATAAAACAGCCGACTCAGCTAAACATGTACATGTACCACAAAGCCTCTTTAACACCATCTTCATAAATTCAAAGCACCAAAAAGTCTAAAATCAAATTATTTGGCATCAGTTATAAAGTCTTCATCAAGCTGTCTACTATATACCTTCCTCAAATCATTACTGGTAACTTTTATAAAGAGGCATGGTAAAAGACGTTTGATGCAAGACTCCCAATTTCTGTATACAGTATCAAATAGAGTTTCACCAATCAAGTGTTGAATCGAGTCCCTGTATTGCCCTCAGGGACAGGGATTTGGTACTTTACTATCACTTATCCTTTATAGATTTGAAAAGTATACTGTGCTAGACTCATTATGTTTAGATAACCTTTAATTTCTTAGATCTATGTCTTGTTAAGAGAGACTTTTGGTGCTTGGAATTTAGGAAATATGGACTAGAAAACATTCTAATCCTGTCGTGTGTCTATTTTACCGCATGGTATAGGTTGTACAGGTCTGTATTCACAGTTATATTTAGTTCACAAGTTCAGTGAATTTTTATTTCTGTTCAATTTGGAATACAATCGGGGCTTTGAACTGTTTTGCATGTTTCTTGTATTGTCTAAATATAGTATATAAAGGCTGATTTAGAACTGGATGAATCAAATACATGTAAATGTCTTACACAAAATGCTCTTTCTCATTCAAATGATAGAATTTGAGGAATTTCACATTTTCTTTCAAGATGTAAAATTTTGAAATAGATAAATGTGGTTAAAGGAATCCCAATCCATACATGTTTAAGAATAAGCCACAAAGTCTTGTTTTAAGCCTGTTGTTCTTTCTATGATAAAGAGACAAAGGGTGGGAACAGGGGTTTGATGCAAGACCAAAAGTCCCATTTAAGTATATGCACTTGGTCTTTTACAGAGCCCAATGAAGCACCTGAACCCTTTATGTGATCCCTTACATTATAAACATAAACCCTCAGAGAAACCAGTTTAAAATTAAAATGATAATTCTATCATTGCAGAAAGCCTGTACCTATGAAATCAGATGGCATGCTCAAAACTGAATTTAATGTCTGTTAGCCATATTTTCTTCATATTGACCTGTCTTGGGGTATAACCAAAGGAAGGCAACATGGGATTAGTATGGCTTACATAGGGCTGTGAACCAGATTGACTTTTCCTAAGATCTTTTTCATAAGATTGTGGTTTCTTAATATAAGCATTAACAACTGGTTCATCATCCAGTGCTAAAAGAAAGAGTATTACATGTATTTTATTTATGTTGGGATTAGCAATTTAGCATGTTTATGGTTTACTGTTGTATATTCATGAAACAAAAATGATTTACTTCAGTTTTGTTTCTGTATTTAGGTAGATATGTTACTAACTAACACATTTATTTTGGGCTACATAATCATACATAACAAGATACTTTATATTTTTGTTCATCATTTAAAATATTATTTTTGTCAAGAATCATGAACTTGTTCAGTGATTACAGAAGCTGACTTTGGAAGAATCTTAAAGCAGATATGAAATGGTATTTCTGACCTAAAGGAATCAATAGAATTTTTTGATAAATGTATTTGGACATGTTTTCTCATCAGAATTGTGAACATTATTTCACTCTAACGATCGTTATAACTGGTTAATAATAAGGAATATTCAAATAGGTTGTGACGTTATTGCCCCCCATGTGATCTCTAGCTGGTCCACACATGGCCCATTTTGGTCCATTAAATCATGACGTCATAATGCCAAGGTGTTTTGTTATTTGTTTACACAACAATCATATGGTTGCTGTGACGTCGTGATTACCAAGGAACCAATAAACCAAAACTATATATTATTTATTACGTTACTAATCACATGGGGGCCAATTAAATTTATCAGTTAATTTTATTAAGTTATTTATGCCCATTAACAGTTATCTAACATTTCCTTTATAATGGCTATCGCAAGAACTCTACAATGGGCTTAAAATGAAGAAAATCGCATTTTGTAGCTGCAAGTTGAGAAAACCTATTTCAGATGTCCTTGAACATTAAATTTCTGTTGAAATAGAAATCAAAATCATCATGAGCAAAATAAGTTTTAGTATTGTTGTAACGTGTTGTCGTATATCTATATATAGAAGCGCCATCTAATGGTGTCTGGGAGGAAGTGGAAGAGGAAGCTGTAGCTTGGGGTAGGTGCTGCCTTGTAGCATCTTGGAGCTTTGTGACATCATCATCCTTATGACATCATACTATGTGAACCATTATGACATTGTACAGGGTTGTCAAATAACATTTAGGAATCTTGCGATTTTTGAGAGTTTTGATTTATATATTATTATATTATTTTAAAAGCACAGTTTGTTTGATACCCTAGGGAATGCCAATGGCTGTTGAGTATGAAAACTGAGTCCTTTTATTAGAACCTTTGGCTGATTTACAAGAACACTGTGATGGCTTTTCCAACCCAGTATTCCCATATCTGATGTGGAGTTTTATTTTCCATTTATTTTTGATTTTCAGTTATGTCTTACATTCTTTTAATATTCTTTTTCACTTCTATTTTTTCTTATTCTTAAAATAAGTTGATATGTATTAAAGGATGCATCATCATTTCATTTTCCATGTTCAACGGATTGTACTTTTCATGTTTGTCATCATTTTTCATTTATATGAAACTTCATTTTGATCATATATATAATACATGTATTTGTATATGAACATCAAGTCATGCATCAAGTAATGGCACACCTCTGCTTAGCATGATGCTTTATATAGTCCTGATAGTTTTAAATTCTCAAAACAAAAAGGTTTTGTTCAGAATGATCACGTTTGCATAATTTAAAGGAACATTTAGAATTCAGTTCATAGTTCACTTTGATGAGTGCCCTCTAGAATACCTGAGCAGTGGCCGTGATGACATTTTAGATTATTCTTTCATTTTATTGATTAGTGTATTATCTTTTGAGTCAAACCAGAGTATGTTGACCGAGTCTTATTAAACTGATTTCAATTCAACTAACTTGTTAACTTGTCTTATTTGATTTTGATATGTTCTGTAGTTTTATTTCTTTTATAATATATATATTGTGAATTTTAATTATACATGTATATATAATTTGTGCCAGGTCTAATGAGGAGGTGAATAATATGTATCCTATTAAACAGACTTTAGGGTGAATATCATGCATTTCCACCAAAGGAAATAAGTGATATCCAAAATGATAATGTTACTCTCATTATGCTAATGCTAACATGCTTATCATTTCTTTTTTAGTGAAAGATCTCATTTACTGGCGCGATGTGAAGAAATCTGGAGTTGTGTTTGGGAGCGTGTTCATCCTCTTGCTCTCACTCTCTCTCTTCTCAGTGCTGAGTGTGTTCGCCTACCTGTCCCTAGCCATTCTCACTGTCACCATTAGTTTCCGCGTCTACAAGCAGATCCTTCAAGCTGTGCAGAAAACTGGTGATGGACATCCCTTCAAGTAAGTAAACACATGATGTAAAACATTGTCCTATCTCAAGGGAGGCTAAAACATTGTCCTTCCTCTAGGAGTCTAAAACATATTACCATAGTTGAATAGAAAGAAAAACCTGTGAAGCAAAAAGTTGATTATAGTCAAACATAACTTTTAAGGCCTTGTCCTAAATGCTTACATACCCTAGTTTGTATTTTGTGAGTCTCTGAGCTGGGCTTACAGACAACTCATCCCCTAGACAACTCATCCCTGGACAACTCATCCCCTAGACAACTCATCCCCTGGACATCTCATCCCCTAGACAACTCATCCCCTGGACATCTCATCCCCTAGACACCTCATCCCCTGGACAACTCATCCCCAAGACAACTCATCCCCTAGACAACTCATCCTTAATCACATGAAGCCAAATTGTTAAGTTTTTTTTTGGAAAATAAATATTTATTAAATACACTTTGAATCATTCTAAATATTATTTTTCGCTTTATTGACACAAATAAAATGGTCAAACGGTGCCAATAAAACCTTCGTATTTTGTCCTTATAATACATGACTTATTATTTCATGACAAAAAATAAAGTTTTCTCTCTGCATTATTTTGAAACATGAACTTCAGTAACTTCATCTGTTTTACTGCTGTGAAAAAATATCTTTTGATTTAAGAATATTTGAACTATGAACACACATATAATGACATCAAAGGAGCTTATGACATCAAAGGAGCTTCTTCAATGAATGTTAACATAATATTGAAATTGTATATCAAAAGTAAAATGAAAGGTAAATATTTACAAAACAAATTACAGATTAATTGGTTGATAATCTCCTTGACAATACCATAGTAGTACCATGGTATATCATAGTTTTTTAAACAATTTTCCAGATTTCCCCTCAAGAAAATCTTTGTTCACTTGTCAGTCAGAAGACAACAGAATCGTCGCTTTAATACCTTACTATTGTTATGTAAATAGAAAGAGTTAGAAGTGCAGATCTTAACCATTTTTTGAATTTCTGTTTACGTAACAAAAGTGAGGTATTAAATCGAGGATCGTGTTAATCATTTGAATAATATATGAATTAATAATATTACATTAAATTACTCAAACATGCCAAAGGATGAGTCGTCCAGGGGATGAGTTGTCCAGGAGATGAGTTGTCTAGGGGATGAGTTGTCCAGGGGATGAGTTGTCTAGGGGATGAGTTGTCTAGGGGATGAGTTGTCTAGGGGATGAGTTGTCCAGGGGATGAGTTGTCTAGGGGATGAGTTGTCCAGGGATGAGTTGTCTAGGGGATGAGTTGTCCGGTTACCCTGAGCTGTATTACTTGCAAAAGTCCCTTTACAATTTACTGTCTTAGGATAATCTTTGATATCAGGCATGACTTAACTTGTATCTTTCATGAAATTCATTGGATTAATTTTAACCCAGTTTTATATTCCTAAAATATTGTTTTCCCAACGCATGATATTTTCATGGGATTCAAAGTCTGTTGGTGTTGAGTATGTGGACACTTGAGTGGAGCATTTTTACACTGAATTTTTATACTTGTATTAAATGAGCACCTCATACTTGACAAAAGAATTTTAAGCAAACCCTTTGCTCCACTACTCTATTATGCGCAGAGTCTAGTTACAAACTAACTACTATAGCTAAAGATGACACTCTCTTACAAGCAGCAAAGATTGGAAAGGGTACTGCGCCACTTTACTTCCACATACTGCAATTTGTAAAGATAAATCAGGCCTTCATTTCCTTGTTTCTTCTCTTGCCATACATTTTACATTTTTCTTCTTGGTTGATGAATGTACCAAGCCAATTATAGGGGCACTTGTCTTATCTGGCTATTAACACATTTCCTTGATTCAAAAATGCAAATGCAGGATTTCTATAATAACTTGCATATAACAGCCTTGTATGAAATCTTCATCATCTTAAACCCATTCTATAGCACTCTCCATTCTATGGCATTCTCCACAATTTCTGGTGTGGAATCAAAAGTTATATCAGAAATAATTAACTACTGTTTATTTAGGAGGATTTTTTCAACTGCAAGATTCTAATCTTGTCTATTCTGACTGAGAAAAATATCTCCCAAAAAGGTTTTCCAAATCTCCAACTTGATACAAATTGTTTTCAACTGGATACAGGGTTATCATCACATTCTCAATAGGGTATATCTCCCAGGTGCAAGGCACTTAGAAATCATTAGTACAGTACTATAATACTATTGTTTCTGGTTGTCAAAAATAATTGAATAAAAATAACTGATTAGGAAGTAACATAAGTTTTATTCTATAGAAAAGTTGGGATACTGAGATATTCAATTCACGATTTCAAATCTAATTCATCTTATCTGGAATGCATGTCCTCTATCACTTACAGGTAAATATAAGTAATGCTTAAGTCTTAGTTACCATGACAACTCCAACAAGATAACAGGGAATAAATAATGCAATTTTGAAAAGCTGTCATCCTGACCCATCAAAAATGTAGGGATTTGATTCTTTGTAATACAATGTGTACATATTCTGTAATGTGTCTATACTTTAAAGCGTAACAACCCCATTTAAAATTTATCGCTGATGAGTTTTATATTTGTAGACCTGTTACCTGTCAAGTTGATATTGACATGTTGTGTATTTATATTTAACAAGTTGTGTTAATTAGTGTCAATAAAAGTTATATTTATGATGCAATTTCAAATCATGTCAGGTATGATGGCTGATATTTAACATGTAGGGAGGTATTTTATTCTCCATTGGATCTGTCATCATTCCCAGTTCATTAATAGCAAAAGCAAAAAATCTGCTGTAAATGTACTCAGAAATATTATTCCCTGAATTTGCCCAGTCTAGTTGATTGTGTTCTGATCTCGATTAACTAAAAGTATATTATCAGATAATTTGAAGAAGGGTTATTTGGCCTGTATTTTGATTCTTTAGTATTATCTACCAAACTCAATTTGTAATTGCTTGACAGCAATATACTGATAATATAAGATTCCATGTAAGATATACTGTGAAATCATTTGCTAAATATTGTAATTTATATGAGACAGGGGAGGCCTGATTATACAATATTATATTTTATTCTTGGGGTGTTTTCAAATTGTCAGCAGTTGAATTATCATGGAGAATAATCAATCTATATTCTCTAATCCCATGAGTAATCATCCTACTCTGGTCAATATAACTGTCATATTTGTATCTCATGTGCTAAATCTCTTATCTCTGGAGTCTGGACGAGTCCGTTGTTATTCTCACGCTCTAGGAGCAAATTTTGCCATTTTGCCAATAACTGCATTATATTTGAGAGTATGATATGTCACCATCATTTCTGTAGTACTTTGTCAGCCCAAAAATGACAGAAATTCCTGTAGAGGCTTTCAATATGTTTCACAACTTTTCACAAAGTTATCAACATGACAATTTTATTTTGGTTGTATGCTACTAAAGTCACTCAATTGATATGGACGAAGCTCATGCCATATTCGATTTTTAAGATAGTTCCTATAGTATCTCATTAACCAAGAACATTATTTAAAATAAAAATGGAAACATTGGTGTTGGTTCTTGATTATCTTGACATTAGAAATCTTTATTCTGAGTTAAATTGTTGAATGTCTCAACTAGCAGGGAGTTAAGCTATTCTTGTCATAATCCCCATATTTACATTTGTGATATAACTACTAACTGAATCCCTGATAAGATCAATATAACCGCAAGGCTTGTCTTCTGATGATCATCTTCATTGTAACTTAAATTTATTTCTGCAACGTGTGCTTGTTTGAGGATCATCTTGGTTGTAACTTACCATCATGATAAACCATGACATCTCATTTCTTCTCAGCCCTGAGATGGTGAAACAGAAAGATGTTCCAGGTGAAACTGAAAGATGCTATGAGTATCAGAATGGTAACTTACATTTATTTCTAAAATCGACATTTACTTAATGAGCTAAATGAGTTTTTCTGAACTTTCACATTATTGTGTTACAACTTAGCACATGGAATCTAGAACTTATGCCATGGCAGAGAGATATTTTGAGTTTATCAGTCTATGTGGTGGGAACTAGGTAATATTCAACATACCAATACTCTCATTATTCCATATCTTATCAACATACAAAACTTGAAACATTTACATGTGCTTCAAGTTTGATAAATGTTGGGAATTTACTTTGAATCATTTTGTTAATATACATATACATATATATTCTTTGATCTTGTATAGTACATGCATATAAAGCAGGGAAAGTGTCCTTATAGATGAGGGATTTTAATGTTATCTGGTTAGATTACTCTGCAAGGTGTTCTGAATAATATCAAGGATTCTGTCAATGACTCATTATCCCAACGAACGAAGTTCGTTAGGGATATAGTGAAGCCCTCCGTCCATCCGTCTGTCCGTCAGTCAGTCAGTCCGTCCGTCTGTCCGGAAGATAACTCAAATACTAGTTGACAGATTTTCTTCATATTTAGTGGAAAGATGTATATTGGTGAATAGTTTTACGCAAAAAAAAAATTTTTCAAGATGGCCGCCGCTTTAAAAATGACGTGACTTTTTCGCAAAAATCATAAATTTTTCATTCTAAACCAAAGTAATTAATATTATTGTTTGAAATTTTGGTAGTGTATTCACAACATTTATCTATTTCACATATATTCTGTGTTTTTCATCCTGACCCCCAGGGGCCATGTATGGGGGGAAACAGGAAAACAGAAATTTTCGCTGATTTTTAGATCTTTCTGAAGTATAGCTTTATTATACTCAAACGAAAGGCAATTAAGAGTAGATTGCAAATATTGTATCTTTTTTCTGATTCGAGCCTCGTAAAATTCAAAATGGCCGTCTAATGTACGATTTCGCAATAATTTTTCGATCCCTTCAAAGTATGGCTATATTATACTCAAATTGAAGGAATTTTGGAGTAGATCACAATTATGGTATTATTTTTCAGATTTGTACCTCAGAAAATTCAAAATTGCTGCTTTGCAGGAGTTTGCAA